TCAGCGGGACCAAATGAACCTGAGCACATGGACCCGAGCAACCAGTAACACCTGGACCGGCCCCGCCTCTGACTTCTGGCGTCACTGACTCTGAGGTAGAAATGCAGCCCAGGAGAGAAGGGATTTTCCTGCCCTCCTCCCTGGTTTATTGCAAAGGCCTGAAAGGGAGCCTACATACAACCTATGCTTCACGTGTGTGTGCAGTGAGTGAACCCAGCCAGTTTATTCCTGGATACCTCAGAGGGTCCTCTACCCCTCAGATCACCACATAGTTCCTGCTCATGTCTAGGACAGGAGTCCCCAGATGCCATGCACACCCTCCTTTACAGATGGGGAAACTGCTTTGTCTGAGGCCTCAGGTAAGCCAGGCCCAAAGTATCAGCATCTCCCCAGTGTGGGTGAAGGGCACTCAGGAGAGGCCCAGGGCTGGCACTTCCCAGGCTCAGGTTCCTTGGGAGGAACATGGGAGGAAGCCCCTGGGGCTCCTTTGAGCACCTGAGCTTCCAAAGAGCAGACTGTGCCTGGCATTGTGCAGACCCAGCCAGAAGGTGATGATCCCCGGCCCATGAGGTGGGACAGGCACCTTTTCAACAGCAGCTCCAGCACCTGCTGTGTGGTGCCCACTGATCGGTAGCTTTGGAAAAACCTGTGGAGAAACCAAGTGTCCCCACGAAGCACAGAAGGCACTAAGTCTTTCACCATGCTCTTGCGTGCGTCCTCCAGGAGGATTTCCAAACAGCCCCGAACTTCATAGTTCTGGCGGGATGCATTTTCACCCTGGGGTGGGACCAAGGACCAAGGTTCAGACATGGAAACAGCAACTCTATTACTCATTTTTTTTAATTACTGAGGAAAAATTATCCAACACCGAAACTTCATGCAGATTAACTCTGGCTCATGATTTTAGAGTGTTCAGTTAATAGCTGGTGGTGTCCAACACAGCAGTGGCATGGTGGAAGCTGCTCAGCCCATAGTAATTATGCAGGACAAGAAGGGAGGGGACGGGGAAAAGAATATACCCTTGTAGGCGACTCCCCCAGTGACCCCCCTCCTCCAGCCTGGCCTCCAGTCCTAATAGCTATGTGCTCATCAATCAATAACACACTGATGAGCACACCACCTGAAGGATCTAATCCCATTCCAAGTCCCACCCTGAACACAGCAGGCTGTAGGGGGACGTTTTACATGCAAACCATAACCTTAGCCAAGTGCCAAGAGACTGTGCCATACAACAAAGTACAAACAGCATGGAGAGCGGCTTCAACTCTCACACATGGGCATGGGCACACCATGACACACGTACACTCACACCTGGGGAGGGGTGGAGCCCACACAGGGAGGGGTCAAAACCAAGGGCTGGGCTTTGGTGACCTCCCTCCACTGCTCTGTGTCACCTTTGAACTCTGTGAAAATGGCCACAGGCGTTTAGGGTGACGAGAGACTGGTGGTCTCTCAATGCGTCCAAGACCTCCTCTGGGTGATCTCCGGAAGCCTGAGCCTTGGGAAGTCAGAAAACAAGATGAGAACATCCTGTTAAATCCAGAGTCTCGGGACAAGTGAGCTCCCTTCAGTTGACTGTTGGAGATGGGTGCCTAGCAACAGGGTTCTGAGCCCTGCTTCATCATCCAGGAAGTGAGGTCAGCTCAGCTCTTGGGGTCCCTTCAACTGCTTTGTTCCTTCACACAGGATTTCTTCAAAGGCCCCTTAGGCTGTTCACTTTTCCCTCCCTACACACTCTGCACAACTAGACACAATATTGTCAAAACACCCCACCCCACTATCCCCAGGCTTGCCTGGGTTAGGGAGACAGAAAACAGCCCTGGGGTCAGACCCAACCACTCCTACTTAGGATGAGTTTTACAGGTCAGGAATTTGGAGAGGTCTTAGAGTCAGGTTTGAGAGATTGTTTTAGTGTCCTGGTTAGAATTTGGGGTTAAGGTTAGACTCAGTGGTTAGCGTTCAGGGATAGGGTTTAGGGTTATAACTAGGGACTAGACTAAGCATCAAGATTAGTAGTAGTAGAGCTTTGGTTTAGTTGATGGCTTAGGATTAAGTTTACAGTTGTGATTTGGGTTAGATTTCATGCTTGTGGTTGGGAATGTGTTGTCCCCTTCAAGTGGTTGAAGTCACAGTCATTGTAATATTTAAATAGTATTAATTCCACCAAAAAAATATTTCCTAAATTTATATTAAAGTTTATAATAAGATTGTAAGGGACCATTTTATTTACTTTCATAAATTACTACAAAGACAGGAAATTTATTAAATATTATTATTCTATTTTTAAAAAAAAGAGGAAGTCAAGTGCTCCAATTTCACTCACTTTTCCATGCTATGAAACTTGGAATAGTTCGCAGATTAGCACATGTCAAATCCCTGAGTAGACACACACAGCATTTGTTCTTTCAAGGAATGAGCAATGTTCTAACTAAACACATGTGATGCAAAGAGTGTTTGGAAATTGAATTTAGAAATAAATATTTTCCGTACCTTATGATTTTTCTTTTCTTAAAAATGATGCAAAGATGTAGTTTATCTACCTTCTGTTTTGAAATCTTGGAAATCAGGGGTTTTACGAGGCCCCTAACATTAACTATGCACAAAACCAACTCAACATATGTCTGAGACCTAAATGGAAGCCCAGAAATGAAACTATGATGAGAAAACATAGGGGAATCACTTTGAGATATGATTATAAGCACTGATTTTTATTTGACCCTGAATGAAAAGGCAACAAACAAAAGTACACCAATGAGATTATATCATATAAGAGGATTCTTCATAACAAAAGAACAAATCACAAAGGACCAATATCTAGGACATTTAAAGAACATGAAAAACTCAACAATGAGTTGAAATCCAATTAAAAGTGGGTAAATTGTCTCAATAGACATTTCTGAAAAGCAGAGATATAAGTGGTCAACACATATATGAAAAAATTCCTGAACATCACCAACCATCACAAAATGCAAATGAAAGCCACAATGATGAGTACAAGCCCTCTTCTCTCTACACCCCATTTCTTCACTTCTACATCTTCACACCACTGACCTCTGGAGTTATTTGTACAACTAGGTCCAATCGTTCCTCCTTCCTCATGCCCAGAAACACTTAAAATTACAAATTTAGAGAAGCAGAAATTTTACTGAGAAGTCATAGATCAAGAATTTTACAAAAGAGCTCATCAAATATCTAACGTTTTCTCAGAAAAATTGTTCAACTGGTGGGATTTAGAGTCCACAAAGACAGAGAAGTTTGTGTGTTTTGTTGGCTGCTGTTTCTCCCCACTCTGAGTGGCTCACACATTGTACCTGCTCCAAAAAGTCATCAAATGATTGTATGCTGAGTTGCAATGATTCTTATGGCCATACTTTTGCCCTTGTTAATATCACTCTGAGCATTTTCTCAGGGGATAGCACAACTTTAGATTTTTTTCTTCTTGTCTGCTTTTCTACTCCCTCTTCCCAGTTAGGATGCCAGACTCTTTGACCTTCTGTTCTCTCATAGTACCTGCTGGGACATTCTTCAGGCTAAGTCCCTCACTTCCTATCATGACTACTTTTAGTTCCCCTAAGTGCCCTCATATTTTAGGAAAAAAAACAAAATTCTTCTGCCTAACTGAATACCATCATCATTATACTAGCAAATGCCAATGGAGAGCTTACTAACATGCCAGGCATTCTTCTAGGTGTCTACATGAATTAATTATGATTTTTCAAAACAAGAGAGGTGTGGGCTGCAAACCCAGACTTTGTTGGTCTGACTTGAGCACCATGCTCTTAAGCACCAACCACAGTAACAGGACCTCTCGTCACACTGGGTCCTCACTGTAGTGGAGAAAGTGGTCTGCACCTGTTGCTGACTTAAGCATATGGGCCTAGCAGCAAGTTTCTGTCCTGCTTGAGTCCTTCCTACCCTGCCAAGCCCCTGGTCACTGCCAACTTCCTTTGTAAGCAGTGACCCCTTGGTCACATGACTGCAACGATCAGGGTCGGCTGATGTGCATCTTCCCTCCACTGCAAAACAAGACCTTTGAAGCCTCTTCTCCATTTCAAACACCCTCCTGTTTTCTTCACCATTCCTTATTCCCCTTCTGGCTCACAGAAAGTGCAGGCTCTCCTTCTTTCTCAGGCACCCTTTATTCAAAGTCCTTAATTGTTCTTAGACATTGTATCCCCCTAATTACTAGTTCTCTTAGCAATTTCAAAATTTTCCCTCTGCTCCTGATCTCAGGGTTTAAACCCAGAACATACTTATGAAGGTGCATCCCCAGAACTTTTTGTTTTTTTATTTTCAGTTAGATTCTTATTAAGTCATTAGGTTGCTTACACTGAGCTTGAGTTTATGATTCTCCTGTCTCAGCCTGCTAGAGTTGCTAGAATTCCGGGTGTATCACCACATCTGCCTTCAAGCTGACAAAACAAGTTTCATTAACACTAATGTTTTCGAGTGTAGTAGCACACACCTGGAATCTCAGCATTTGGGAGACTGAGGTAGTGGGATTGCCATGAGTTTCAAGCCAGTCTGGGCTAAATAGGGAGTTCGAGGCCAACCTGAACTACATGAGACTGTCACTAAGACAAAGACACTAATTTTACAGAACCTGTCTCATTCTCATATCTTGATGTTGAAACTGAGAACATCAAGAAAAGATTTATAAGGACATTCAACTACCATTAGATACCCAGAAATCTCTAGTCATTGCCCTAAACCTCAAGTCATTTGGATTCCAGCAGAGCCTTTGAAAACACTGAGACTGTTCCAGGCAGCAAAAATCATCTCATGGAGACCAACTTGCCCTCTCAAGCACTAAGACTTTCTCCACAACCATCTTGCAAAACCAGAACGAAGATAACAATCAACAACAGATGAGTCCAACTTAGCCCCTCTGAGAAAACAGGTCCCATTCCTTTGTCTGACTTTCTTTGTCAGCGCCATGCCCCCTTGGCTCCTCAAACTCAAGTCCCTTCCCTATTTTCTTTTATTTTCTAAACCTACATCATAAATCTATTTATGCCTCTCACTGCAGGAAGAGCCAGGAACCAACCCAGAGTGAGTTGAGGGCCCTGTCTCCTCTCTGGGAGGACCTCAGATAGCATCCGTTGGTATATAGCCTAAGGGAACGCTCAGCTAAAGTAAGTATTGGTAATTTTATATTTATTTTATAGTGAGATTACAATACTTTTTATGAGTTACACTGAATAAACTAAAATTGTTACCTTTGCCTTTTTATTTTTCTAGCAGAATTTCAGGTACCTTTATTTACAGCAGATAGTTTTGGCTGGGGGCCCTGCCTCTGACATCTGTTACTTGAGGAAGCCAACTGCTCCTAAGTCCCAATGTCGGCCTGCAGTAGGCAGCCACTCATTTCCATCTGCCAGGTATGAGACTGGAAATGGCTCTGCACACGGAATTCAACTGCTCGGGTCCAGGTGAAGAATGGGACGCTACACGTTAAGCATGCAGTCCCACTAACTGACCTGAGGGCAGAATTTTGCAGCAGAATAGTCATGGCAATTTCATTTTATTATGGAATCATTGAACTTTTGTGGTCCTCATAACAAAGTGATTGGAAGGTTTAGTTTGTCTAAAAAGAATTTACAGTAACTCTTATCAAACTAGTACAAAAGGAGTGACAGGAAAAAATGACTTCACAAAGGGACACTATAAAATTGGGCGATTTTATCCAGGAACTGCCAAAGCTTAATAAAGAGCACACTTGAGGGCCGGGGATTTAACTTAGTGGTTTCACCGCCTGCTGCGCCAACACAAGAACCCAAGTTCGATCCCTGGTACCTAAAAAAAAAAAAGAAAAAAAAAAGAGCACACTTGAATTGAGTTTATATTCTATAAAATGCTAATGTTAAATAATCTTTCAAAACTTAGTGGACCATATATGTGTGGTTCACTTTCTACATTCTCTGTTTTATTTCAATGATCTATATGTCTTTCCTTATACCAAAACTGCCTTGATTATTGTAGCTTTAGAGGAAGTCTTAAAATTAGGTATGAAATGTCTTCCAACACTGTTTTTTATTATTTTTACATTTCTGGGTCCTTTGTACTGCTACATAACTTTTAAATTTCAGTATCCAATTCTTCATTTATAGCAAGTATGCATAGACCTGAATTTTTATATATACCTTGTGTTTTCTAATCCTGCTAAATTCAAATACAAGTTCTAGGGGCTCCTAGAGATTTCTTAGTATTTTCTCTGTAGATGATCATTTCATCTACATAGAAAGATTTTTTTTCTACCTTGCCAATCGTATCCTAATTGTGTCATTTTATTGCCAGACTATTTTTGTTTAGGCCTCTGTTTCAAAGTTTATTAGACAGATGAAGAGTAGTCATATCTGCCCTTGTTCCTCACCTTAGGGAGAAAGCATTGTATCTTCTCCATTCGTATAAGGCGTTTTTGCTGGAAGTATGGAGTGCATGTCTTTGATCTGTTGAGAAGGTTCTGCTCTACTTCTAGTCTCCTGATAGCTTTTACCGTGAACAGCTACAGAATTAAGTCCAATATTTTTTCTCCAACTAGTGACAGGATCATATGGCTTTTTCCTTTCCTCTGTT